AAAAAGAGGGCTCCGGGGATAGGAAAAAAAGGGGGTGAAAGCTAGGCATTAAGCTTAGGTATGAGAGTGCTCCATAGAGAGAGTACATTGAGTGATAAAATTGTGAGTTTATCAGGATTGTGATCATATCCTGGGGGAGTGGGAAACACCAAGAGAGAGAAAATACTTGAGTGTATACTCTGTACAATTTTATCATATAGTGGAATACCCTTCGGAGTTTGTCCCGTGGTTTTTTCCCTCAATAGTTTTTGGGGGTTTTTCCACGTAAAATTTGGTGTTATTTTGCTTGTTTATTTTCTCGCTTAAGTGGCTGGTTGAACCGCCCATTTTATTTATATTTCTTAAGTGGCTGGTTGAACTGCTCATTTTATTTTGCTTGGTCGGCTAAGCCGCCTTTTTCACTAACCGTTAATATTGGTCGGCTAAGCCGCCTGTTTCACCGATCTTTGTTATTGTTCATGTGTTCTATTCACAGGAATTAATTTATTCCGCGAGCCAATTTTTTCTCTACACCATGCCCACAGCCTCACCTGGCATTGGGAGTTGAACCTCAGACTGACATGTCTGCACTTACCTTGCTTGTCCCCAACGATGTTCCTGGCCTTCAAATGAACAAAGAAGGCAACTGGGTGGCTGTTGATTACTTGCCAAATGCACTCTTTGTCCACGTTGGAGATCAAATTGAGCTCAAGTACACCGTGGAGTGTTGTGAAGTACATGCTATAATTAAGATTGGATGTAACATTCTTTTTTTGTTTCAGGTACTGAGCAACATTCTTTTTTTTGTTTCAGGTACTGAGCAATGGCAAATACAAAAGTGTTCTTCACAGGAGTGTAGTGAACAAGGAGCGTACCCGCTTCTCTTGGGCAGTGTTCTGTGCTGTCCACACGAGGCTGTGATAGGACGAATTCCACAGCTTCTTGACCAACAGAACCTGGCCAAGTACTCCACCAAGACGTTTGCGGAGTACAGATAGCGCAAATTCAATAAGCTCCCACAATGATGATTCCTGATTACTTGAGTCCTAGAATAATGTTCAACATCAAGGATGCTATCCTGGATGATTTTTCAAAGTGTCTCTGTCATTGTGATTCTTCATCGTAATGAAAATTGATTGTTCATTTGGATTCCCTGTATCTTAAGTTTACCAAGGTCAAAATCAAATAGATACCTAAAAAGTTTCCAATAAAAGACAGATCAACTAACAAGTAATTGAAACTAGAAAATGGAAAAATAGTGTTGAAAGTTGAAATGTCTATGTCCAAGTCTCAACTACCTAATCCTCCAAATAGAATCTCATTAAAATTTAAAAGACACTTACATAGTTGAATCACATGATCAAATACAAAACAATTGAAGAGTTTTCATGTTCAGAGAAATATGAGACAAGAGGCCTAGATGATTAATTAATCACTTAAATTCCAAGCATATGTTGGTTAAGTCCTAACAATTCTGACCACAATGATACCATCAATTTGCACTTCTAATATATCGACTTGAGGAGTATATATAGCACTGCATTCGAATGAAGAGCTTAAATCATACTGCATGCATTAGGAAGAAAGGCCACAGAAAAAGAGCACTAGTATGAGAAACACAAACATATTACGCCAGCCAGCTGCAGCACTACTCAACCAGATTTACCAAATGGAACTTTCTGCATTCCGCACGGTACAGACTTACTTTTAGTGGATAAAACAATAAAATGAAAAAAGTCAGGTGGAAAATTATTCCAAGAAAAAGTGGTAATCTAATCTGCATGTAAACAAATCTTATATCAACTCAAGAACCATTTTTACACAAACTATGCAGAACATAACCATCCACTGCTCATTGGACTTTTTGACAAAATGTACAAATTGTACAAGTTAATCCTGATTTCAAGTACCAAGGAAACCATTTTAATTCTCAATAACATATAGCTCAATTGATAAGATCTCACAGACATTCAAATCATCTTGGGCCTGAAATTTGTTGAGATGATATATAAGAAAAACCAGTAAAAGAACCTGTTATTGAAGTAGCAGTGACAGCATGTTGGTGAGGCATAATATTACTTTGCTTGTCTTGCTCTTCTATCATGGAAGCTTCAGTAAACCTACGCCCATAAAAGCGCAAAAAGTTTAGAGATTCCATTCTTGGTTGAGTTAAAGGGATCCCACCTTCCAACATGCCAACAACAGTAACCATATTCGGCCTCAGTGCTGGTTCCTCATGAACACAGCACAATGCAACACGCACTAATTTTTCCACCTCTTCACTTGTCACCCGACTCTCTAATCTTGGATCGGCAAGCTCCAAATACCTTCCTTGCTCATGCATCTCCAGTGCGAATAGTGGAAAATAAACAAGTCCAGACCCTGAAGAGGATGAGGAGTTGCCACCGCCACTGTTACTGCCAACCACACTACGGCTTTGTGATGGTACTGAACAATTTTTCCTCCCACTCACAAGTTCGAGCAACACCATTCCGAAACTATAAACATCAGTCTTTTCTGAAATTGCTGAGTTAGTGAGCCATTCAGGGGCAAGGTACCCACGAGTGCCTCTCATTGTTGTAAACAGACTAGATTGTTCGGGGTTTAGAAGCTTTGAGAGCCCAAAATCAGAAATCTTTGCCTGAAAATGATCTTGCAATAAAATGTTCTCTGGTTTGACATCACAGTGGATGATTTTTTGTTCACGCCCACTATGCAAGTACGCAAGACCACGTGCTGTACCTAGTGCTATATCAAACCTCTCTTGCCATTCCAACACCGGTCCATTGCCAAAGAGGGTTCGATCAAGTGAGCCCCGATTCATATACTCATAAACCAATAAGCGTTGTTGCCCTTGGGCACAAAACCCTCTCAACTTGACCAGATTAACATGGTGAATATTTCCAATAATTGCAACTTCAGTGAAAAATTCATTTTTACCCTGAATGCCCAGATTTGTTATCTTCTTCACAGCCACCATTGTTTTGTCAGGCAATATACCTTTATATACAGTACCAAATCCACCTGATCCTATCCGGTTTTTAAAATTATCAGTAGCAGCCTTGAGGTCTTCATAGTAAAACCTTTGAGGCAAGCCTAGAATGTTAAAAGCTTCCAGATCTTCCAAAGAAAGTGAATTAGGCTGCCCCAATTTTATCTCTCTAAGCATGATTATGTTTGATCTTCTCCACCAGAGCAAACCCAGAACAACTAACAAGGAGAAGCCAGTAAAAGGTAAGAGAACAAGAGCAACTACAGGAAAGCCTTTTCTTTGATTACCAGGACTGCCAGTGGAGCTTCGTCGCCTTTGTCCAACAAGGACTTTAATGTAGCCCAGCAAATCATTTCCCAATGTATTGCTCGATATAATAGAGCCTAGCTCACTTTCAAGGACATAACAATGAGCAGATGCACTGTCATAGAAAATTCCTAAGCAAGAACAGTCACCTGAGCATAAATTTTGACATGCTGACAAATCTACATCATACCTAGGCTCAGAGAAAAGAAGAGAAAAATAATTCATACCGTACCCAAGCCTTAGATACGATTCAACTGAAGAATTCAACTGACTACCATTATTTGTAGAATCACAAGCAACAGGCAGAGAGTGAGAGGCATCACTGGGCAAACAACCACCTTTACTATTTGAAGCTGCACTAAAGCCTGCCGGACAAGAACAAACAGGAGTATTGGTCGTACTGTCGGCAGTACATAATCCGGCCGTACCACAAATTGATGGAATGCGGCAGCTATCAACTGGACCAAGAAACTCCTTCTTCAAGTCATTGCCAGAAAGACTAAGAACAGTAAACTGGCCGGAGAGATCTAACTTGGCAATCCTAAAGTTGGACAGCGACAAGCTCACCTGAGTTACCACCACAGATCCATTACCGCCAAACAGATAAAGACCAGTTTTATTTATTGCCATATAATTCACTACATAATTTGAATTCATGTATGCTTGGGTATCCATTGATAGTTTCCAATATATCTGTCCTCGCCATAGCAGTAATGCATCTGATGAAGTAATCATGAACTTGTAATCACCAGTTGATAAGTTATAACCTGATACAGCATTTGACAGCATTGCCCCAGCATGTAAGTGTTGTCCAAGAACAATCGTATCTGTTGGATGGTGGAAGCTCTCCCAAATTGAAGCATTAGATTGATCAAGTAGAACAAGATTACCCATTTCAGTCAGCTGTAATGCATATACTGCTTCTTGTAACTTCAGAGTTGACCATTTGAGGTTGCCATTTTCATCAAAAATGCTAATTCCTTCTCGCGTAAGATCCATTTTACCAGATTTCGAGATGGGATCATTACGATTAGCAGACCAGATGATGGCGTTGGAAGCAACATGGATGATACACAAGTAAAAGTTGGTTTGTTGGCCTTCAGGATTGTAAATAGAAGCTTTGAAAGCTCCATTAGGAGAGAAGAGGAATGCACCAGAATCGTCAACAAATTGAAGATAAGAAGCAGTGAAATTTGGATAGACAAACTCTGAGAAAGAAATGCCAGAGATCAGAGGATAGAAAAAGAAACTAGTCAGGAAGAACAAGAAGGATCCCATAGAAGATTAATGGAGAAAAAGAGGAGATGTATGTGATGGATTGGATAGAAAGGGTATTGGTGTGGGTAGAATTGATCAACCCCAGTTTTCTTCATTTCTTTTCTTCAAATCCAAATCTCAGTTTGCGTTGACCAAGAGGAGGAGGCTACATCTCTCCACACCAACCAAATCCTGATTGGTAGAATTAATAAATCATCTATTCAGTACCAACATCATTTGGGGATCCATTATATGAAAATAGGTGCAGGTCAAACCCGAGTAAGTTCTCATCCATCCTAACTAACTTCTAAGCAGACAGGTGTCCGACTGCTGTAGCAATCCTTTTTTCGATCCCAGGGTCAATCTTTTTCTCCATCTTCATTTCCTCATCTCAACCTGATTATTTAATGTTATTTCCTCTTCTTTTTTTTTTTTTGGTTTGGACCATCTGATATTCAGAAATTTACTGGATTATCAACTAATTCAAATTTGAATTGGGCACCTAACGAGCGGCACCCTCTTTCTCATGAGTTTTAATAGAATTACATTTTTAAGGTTTAAAATCAAGACCTCCAGTTAAATTAAAAAAATTTCCTTTTAACTTATCCACTGCTTGTGGTTTTTTTCCTTCTATTCTTAATTGTTTCTTAATTGTAAAAGAATGGTTAATGTTTAAGAAACAGATGTGAAAGAAAAAGCCTGCTATTCTAAGAAAAAGATTATTCAATGACCGTGTGACACGTTAGAATGCATTTCTTTATTACAAATTAATATCATCGATGATTTCATCCTACATTACTGCACTTTATGAACCCTCCACCAATATTACAACACTATTATCGACCAAACTTCATAAATCAAAATCACATATAGGAAAACGTAAAAAAGAAATAAAAATATACTTGATTGATTGAGAAAAAAAACATCAAAACACTTGGCAGGCATTAAAGTTTCAAAAAGATAAAACAGGAAACACTCACTAATCTGCTGAGTGATGGTGCCATCTCCGCCGCCAAGGGAAGACAATGAGAATACTGCAAGACCAAGACCAATAGAATTGATCCCAAATTGTCTGAAAAAGCCAACAATTCTTCCTCGTAAGCAACTATGGCCTGCCATAAATGCTTAGGTTATATAAGCTATGGTTTTGGCTTCAGCTTCGTAAGAATAAGGGATGTGATTTTGCCTGCGAAGGAGGAAACCGGCAAAATGAGATGAATGCAGAGAAGGTGAAGGAAGAAAATTGTGTAACGGTAAAACTTGAAGTTCGTTAACTGTTAGGTAGTATTGTTTTTTTTTTTTTTTATGCACACTGTTCGGTAGCATTGTTGGATGAAGTGTAATATATATTTATATATGCACTTAAAAATGGGCAAATCCCCTCTAAACCCCCAATATTTTTCCGTAAAATCAATCAAGTACTCTTGTTTCAGAAAAGTTTAGGAAAAGTAACAAACTTTCTAATCAATTGAGTCCCTCAAATTAACTTCTGCTACATTTAACCCTTTGAAACTACATGACCATGCCACTAAAAGTCAAAGCTAAATGTAGAGGATTCAAATCTTCAAATCTCAATGAACAAAGTAAAAAAAGACAAACACTTATTTTAATAAAACCAAGCTCATCCTTAGAAGTTAGTTAGTTTGTTTTCTTTATTAATTTTTTTTATATTAACTTTTCAGTATTCAGTAACTATATTAAATCTCAATTAATTCGAAATTGAGTCACGTTAGATCCCATATGGGGTCGAACTCTTCCAATATTTATTTCTTTATTCAGAATATTCAAACTTCAAATTTTATTTAAGAAAAATTAAGTTTTTTTCATTCAAACTAATAAGTCGTTGGTTTGTTTTCTTTATTAATGGATCGAAGGATTGCTGTTCTAAGCAACTTAAATATTAATGACGTTAAATTATTAGAAATTATAATTTAGATGTGATGTGATTGTTTCTGTATAAACAAGGGATGTGAGATTAGCAAAGCATTGAATTATTAGAGCGAGAGATGCCAACCACATGATAATAAAGAAAGAGAGACTATCTCAGTATGTATCATATTATCATGGTAGCCGGCTAGTTGCAATCAAAAAGTCAACTTGGCCGTTTCGCTGTACCTACACCACCTAAGATGTTATGGAGCTCACATGGGAAGTTCAGGCATCCATGTGTGTATCTCAGTATGTATCATATTATCATGAACTAGTTTTTGCACAACAATCGAACGGCGAATGGAAGGGGACTATAGGTCTCATGACGGGGAGAAGAAGGATTAAGCCACGTACCCCAAGTTAGTTGAACAGAGGCAAGGCCGAGGGGAGGCAGCCTAGCCCTTGCAAGTCTTCACGCGGATGCATATTCCTTTCTTTTCATGGGAGGCCCAATCTAATGAGACTTTTAGATTTGGAGTTGGGCCTTTAACCTTTTTGTCCTTCGGGCCTTCAACTCCAAAGTTCTGCTAGAATTTAAGTACTCTCAAATGCTTAATAGTCTGTTTTGTTATGTTTTGTTTGAGAAAATTTGAGGGGAGGGAAAGAGATGGGAGGAAAAATAAAAGGATTTCATTTCTATCTTTATTATTATTATTATTATTTGGATAAATAACAATGAATGAATGAACAAAAGCAAAAAGTAAAATGAGTAAATTTTCTTTATTTTCTTTTCCTTTAATTTTTATAACTAGATACATGAATTATCCTCTTTTCCCTCTATTTTGCTATACTTTATTTTATTCAAACTATATATATTTTAATAATTTAATTCAAAGTTCTAGTATTTAAGTACTTTCAATGCTTAATGGTATGTTTTGTATGTTTTGTTCGAGAAAATTTGAGGGTAGGATATAAAAGGGGAGAGAAATAGGAGGATTGTATTTTTATAGACTTTTTATTTAAAATAAATTAGAATGAATGAATTTAAAGTAAAAAATTAAACAAGAAAGTTTTCTTCCTTTGTCTTCTTCTC